AACAAAAGAAAGATGGGAATGCAGGCATCCGGCTCTTAAAAAAAGAACCAGACCTTGTTCGTATCACATGGAAAACCACGGAGACGACGTTGAGAAACATGCATGCTAATCTACATTCGTTTTTAAATCACAAAAAGCGATGCATCCTTGTTAGCACTGAGCTGTAATGAAACCGTGCTGAGATATCTGCTGTGTCTACCCTAGCCGGTGTGCACTGAAGGGAAACGCGAAGTCAAAGGCAACCTGTTTGGCTGCGGCCGGCCAAGGCGTTGGGTGGGAGTCAAATGAAAGGCTGGGGCGGCAGCCGGGCCTGCAGAGGCCGGGCTGGGCTCCTGCCGCTCATCAGGATGCAGTGGGTGTCCGTCAGTCCTGCACCCACGTCCATTAGCCAAATGATTAAATATACGTCAACCCTGTGCTATAATAAAGTAATTCTAATAGGGCATTGTCACAGGATCAATGTTTCCTGGTTTAAAAATAAACATCAGCATTTATCTAGCAGCAGAAAACTATTATCCCAGGGTACTGTTTTATTCAACTGACATCTTTTAATCAAAGCAATCCATATTGTGGCAACATTCCAAGGTATCGTAATTGCAAATATCTACGGCAAGTTAGGTAATAGCTGTATTTTGGTTGCTGGCTTTTTCTGCCTCTTCTACAGAGTCGATGCAGACATTCTGTGATGAATTAATTCCATTAGGGAAAACATCGGAAGTGACTGTATGACTCGAGACCACGTCTCACCTGCCTCCACGGGTTCCCTTCTAACTATCAGACGCAACCGTTCGTGTGCGTTCGTGTCTCCTAGATGTTTCTGTAATGAAAGCGAGTAAAACGAAACCTTGTTTTTCAGTGGCACCGATGTAGCTGAACACCCCCACGGAGGGAGGTCTGGATCCCCCCCGGCAAGGGGCGGGAGGCCTCGTGCACCTCAGTTAACACCCGGGGAGTCGGAGTCCCGTGGACTAGGGGTGCGGCGGACGGGACTCGGGCGCAGGGGTGAGCGGGCTGGGGGGGGGGGTCTCGCTGGAGACGCATGCTCACAGCCTTCCGGGCCTGCCTCTGGGCTGCTGCCCCCCGATCAGGGTCTGCTGTGACTCGCTCCCTTCTGTGACTTCCCGGAGAAGGGCAGCGCTGATTCGGGGAGAGGTCTGAGCCTGGCAGCTCGGTGGTTTTCAAACCCCGGCGGGCCACTTCCGGGATACCAATTTTAATGAACTGCCCTCGCTCCGCATTTAATTTACAAGTTATGTAAAGCCTCCGCAGAAAAGCATCCTCGCCACTGCCTCGCCGAGACAGACTGGCAATTTTCTTTCTACGGCCCCCCAATTCATTCCCCAGGAGCATCAGGCAGAGATCTTCAGGCGATGAGAAAATGGAAACACGCGCATTTCTGCACCGCCTGAAGTGTGTTTAGTTTCAAAAGGAAAAATGAAACGCATCTCGGCGAGGCTCGCTTCATCTTCAGAATGAGCGCACAAGCTATGGAGGCGAACACATCGAGGTGCGCGGCCGGTCGGGGCGGCCGGGGCAGGAGAGCTCGCTCACCAGCCTTACACACGACTGCTCCGAGTGGGACCTGCTCAGAGGCACCCTTGGTGCCAAATGAGAGGATCTAAGCACTTGCTCGATTCAACCTCTCGGAGGTTCCATTTCCTCGTGTGCGCAAAAGAGTCCCCGTGCCCCCTGGGTCACAGCAGTCGGGAGGATTCGGCTCAGTGACGGAATGTACCGGCAACACTCGGCACGGCACGGAGGGAGCGTCGCAACGGTGGCAACTTTCTCTAAAAGGCCCCTATCAAAGCGGCTCTGCGGAAGGCTAAAAAAAAAGGGGAGGGGGAAGCCACCTACAAATCCGATCGGGCCAGGGCCACCCTGAGGGACCCCACTTTACGTGCGGCACGTGTGGTCTCCGAGCTGCCCTTCGGGTACCAGAGAGTAATCGCAGGCCGCGTCAGATCTGTGCACGGGGACCAGGGACATCCGTCCACTGTTCGGGGGCTTTCTAAATACAAGTCCATTTCTGCTGATCTTTGGAAGCATTCGCTTCCAGCCAGCGGCACACACACCCAAGCTTAACCGAGACAGGGCTCCCCAGAGTGCTCCTGACAACTCCAGAGTTTGAGTCGGTCCGCCTCCAGCCGGATGGACTCAACAGAAAGGGGCCGGGGAGGCCGCCCTAGAGCACAGGCCGCGCGAGACGCCCTCAGTGAGCTGCCATCGCCAGCAGGGGGCGCAGCGGCCTCTTCACCTGAGAAGGGCTGGGAGAGGGGCGTTACTGAAGGGTTCAAGGTGACTGACGCCCAGGTCCCATCTCTCTCGTTTTTTCCGTTTCAAACCAAGAATTCCACAAACCGTAACCAGAAACTTGTAAATGGTCCAGTTCTTTAGAGAAAGGGACTGAAAATGACAAACGCTGTTGTATTTTGGCATGGATTCTGAGTTTGCAAATATAAAGATTTGTGAGTGCAAAAAATATAGGCACCATTTGAAAAATGTTAAGCTACTTACATATGGTACATATGCTACACACACACACGCACACGCGCGCGCGCGCGCACACACACACACACGAGTTTGTTTTCAAATTAATTTGAAAGGCTATTTAGCTCTGAGCCATCACTGCATTCAGTTATATCTGACTCAACACAGCCTGCAAGTCCGCGCTGATATCTTTCGATAGCAATTCTGTTCCTGGGATTTGTTTGAAAGCGTTTAGGTTTTCACGGATCACTGGAGGTTCCTCATTTTTCCCCCTTCTGTGTTATGTAGGTATAAGCCGTCTCTCTAGGCATAAACTGTCCACTGGTAAAAATCAATTTTGATTTTATCAGTATTTATTACTGCTGGTGCCAGCAATTTAGAAGACTAGGGAGGGAAACGAAACATGCAAACTAGGAGAAAGAAAAAAATTAAAGCCAGGTCCTCATACCTACAAATAACACAGCCTGCTGTCTTCAAGAGGTATTTTGGTACTGTGCGGAGAGAGCTTAAATTATCAATTTAAAAATTCAATCAATAAAAATTTAGAGGACTCTCTTATTGCTTACATTGCTTATGTATTTGTGGGCTTGGTGGCAGGTCCCTACGAGGGCACCGCTCCCAGAGGGGCTGGAAAGTGGTGCCCGAGGGCAGGCGGGGGGGGGGAGGGGTGGCTTCCTTCCGGGCTGGCACCCTGGCCGGCATCAGCCCTGCCCGCGCCAGGCCAGTTTGTTCTGATTACCTCCTCTTGGGGCAGGACAGACCCACGTCAGGGGAACACACATCCACCTCTTTGCCTTTCCTCTCATTCCTTCTCTTCTGTCATTCTCATCTGAGCAAAAGACACTCAAAAGGTGCGTACTCCTCCAGGTTCAAGATCTTGACTGTCTGTGGCTCCCGCAACAGTCCCAGACCCTTGGCAGTGCTTGCCCCCCACACACTCACCCTCGCCTGACACGCCCTTCACCGACTGCACGGTTCCATGACATCCAGTCTGCCCACCATCACCCTCCGTCTCTCCCCGGGGAGTTCCCTTCTTCTGCTCAGAAAGTTCCATAAACTAACATGCGCTCACCAAATCTTAACCTCCAAAGAAGAGAGATTTTATAGGATGATTAGTCAGAAAGAAGACAACTCTGGATCTCAAATTCAGATTTTCAGCTGTGAGCAAAATGCCCTCAACTTTGAGAAGCTGAATGCCGGCTCCTACATATACATGAGACACTAAATCGCTTTGCAAGACCCAAAACAGAACGGATATCCGAGGCACTCTTTTCAAGAACTCACTCGCCCCAGGATAGGCACGGGCAGACTCCAGCCTCACCGGCCAAATCCCACCAGCCGTTCTTGTGAGTGAGGTTTTGTGGGAACGCACAGCCACGCCCTTCGAGAACAAGTCTGCAGCTCTCTGCTCTAGAGAAACGGGAACAGCTGGAGACCCTGCTGGTCACTTCCCGTCAAGGCCATCGGGTGCTGCCAGCCACGAAGAGTGGTTCGCTGCAGCTCCCACACCTGGACTGGAGTCTGCTTACAGAAAATTCATGGCAGAAAGCGTCTCATTCTGTTCCAGAAGCCCCCAGATCCGCAAGCACGAGAGAAGACTGGACACTAACTTCTACTTGGGTGGCCCTCCACGTCGGGCGCTCTCAACACGGTCTGACCGACAGGTGTGTGGCTGAGAAGCAGGGCCACTCCGTGTTCACCGTGAGCACTCGGGACGCACAGAACTTCTCGTGAAGACAGAAGCTACTTACTTACTCAGCCTACAGGCATCCAGCTGCCAGGCTTTAGGTCCCTGACCAGACCCCCAGAGCCACAGCCAAGGCCCTTGTGCCCCAGCCAAGTTCAGGAGCAATGTGACTCAAGTGAATGACTTCTAACGACCTTCTTCCTTTTGATGGATCTGTCTTTTCAAACCCACCCACTCCCTGGAGCCGCACTCAGCCTGCCGTTCACTAATCTTTCCTGCCTGGCTCCTTGACCCAAAGGAGAGTTCTTTTCCTACTGAAGGGCAAGGTAATGGAAGGGCGAGGGTGACCAGTTGCTTAAGATTTTCAACAGTTTTATTTTTATACTTTCAGTTGAAGCCAACGCCACACACACACACACACACACACACACACACACGTATATAGCTATATCTATATTTAAATCATTAAACATGTATTTTCATTGATAGGGCTCATTTTAAAGCCAACCTTCCAATAACAAAATAATAACGAGGATCATAAAAATAATAATTTCCCCTCTACAGCAAAGGTGACAAAATGACAAAAGAACTCTTAATTCTGGGGCTTTATTTTAATTTTTTTTCTTTTTAAGATGCTACATAGTCGAACAGAATTGGATTGGTCTTTTATGGCATAAAATTAATTTACAGTCAAACTCCCAATAACTACTTGACGACTATCTGAAGAGCCTGTGGCCCCTCTCCCCGCCCCCACCCAGCTGGCTCCCTCTCCGCCACCACCCTGCCGCCCCATCTCGGGCCAGGGCCACACGGGAAAGGTCAGGACCAGACTCGGGGCGCACGTGCTGGAAGTGTAAGTGGTGGCTGAGGGACAACGAAGGAACAAGAAAGAACGTCAGCTACTCTTCTCCATCAGAAAGGGTGACAGAGTTGACCGCTGATACTAAGAAAAATTCCCTCTCGATGACGACTGTCGTTCGTCTACACAGAGAAACACTTCGTGGCAGCTGTTCCCAACGTTCACAGCACCCCCACCTGCATCGACGCGCAGAGCCCAGAGCCTCGGGGTGGGGGAGGAGCCCGCAGCCCTCCGGCAGCACAGGTGTGATTTGGAGGCCACAGCATTAATCATGATCTCGTGGCAATAAGGAAACATGAGAGGAAATACATTAAATAAGTTAAATATGCGTTACACATCTCTGAAGAACAATTCCATCTCACTACATGAACCAACAGTAATTCAGCTTGGTCCCTTTAAGAGAACAAAGCATTGACTTTAATTTCCAAAGTGGTGGGTCAGTGGGTCACCGTCCGCCTCCCGCTCCCGACGGGCAGATCTGACGCTGCCACAGCACAATTCTTCTGGCTTCTGACCCTGTTCGTCAGTCCCAGGGAACCGACGGCCAGGGCAGAACGTGGAGAAGCAGCCCGGGGAGTGAGGGGGCGGGTGGGGGGTTGCTCTGGGGAGGGGACGGCCCTCCCCACCCCCACCGCACCGGGCTCCGGCTCCCCTGAGGGCCAGCACCAACCGGCAGGAAGACTGTCTCGTTCTAAGAGAGGTAATCAGTCCAGCCACACGTACCAAGGCTACAATGTTTAAAATGACACTTCCAACATGCCATTATGGTTTAATCACGGTTTCCCTTGTCATTCACAAAGATCATTATGTTCCCCCGATCACTTACTATACATTTTTAACTTTCTAAAAGATTGTTACGTTATAATTTGTGTGTGTGTGTGTGTGTGTGTGTGTGTGTGTGTGTGTGTATGTGTGTGTGTATGTGCACGCGTGCGCACGCGTGGGGAGGGGGTAATTTAAAGGCAAGACCTGTGAGATGTCATCATACATTAACTTCTTTTGACACATGGTTATGATAAATTCAAACCCCACAGAATGGCGGGCCCGTCAACGCAGTGTGCCACCCTCCGCCTGCCGCGTCTACAAGGCGATCTTCCCTATGATCACACCGACAATGAAGAACAAAACCACGAGAGCAAGGAGCCGGGCGCTGAGGCCCTCCTCCTTCCCAGCTGTGGCTGACACGGGGACGGGGCTGTGGCTCTGCACCGTCTTCCTCATGCGAAGTCCGTCTTCTTCCTACGGAAGCAAATGCACATTTTCAAAGACAACCCAAGGCCCCAGAAGCAGACGTCAGCTGTACAGTTTAGCAGAGCAGGGTGGGCTTTTAAGCACAGACTTGGATCACGTGGTGTGGTCCAGCCTCCTCACTTCTCAAAGGGAGAAACTGAATCCCACAGAGAAGAAGGCACTGGCTTGAGGCCAGGGAGAAAACGCTGCCAGCAGCCGGCCCCTCTTTCCTTCTGCCCACCTACACGAGGCTGCCAGTGCACCTTTTTATACCACACATCTAAAGCAGGGCCTCGGTTCCCCATGACTTACAGAGAAAAAGCTCCCGACGGGGTCCGCCAGGCACATGTGAGACCTGGGACCACCCACCGTCCTGGCCGCGTCTCCGGGCCACCCTTCTACACCCGACTCCAACCCTCTCTGTCCTTCTTCCTCTGATGAGCAGTCTTCCCTGCTCAGGGCATCAAAGTGTGAACGACAGGCATTTCCCGAAGCACAAATCTAAAAAAATCACAAGAAGCTACACAGGTAGGGGGCCCACAAGTTTTCCAGTGCAGAGCTCTGTAGTTGATGAGTTACATGGAGACTGCTGGATAGAAAACAATGGTACCTGGAATACTATTAAAATGTGACACAGTTTGATCAATGCATCTCAAATATTTTCGACTTAAAGCAAGGAATTCCCGCCAAAGGAGCAACATCCTTTTTCACATCTCTACAGACATTCGGCCACACTTTTCCCTCAACTACATAGATATGCACAGAATAGAAACCCTTTCTTTCTTCGCTGATCCCAAGGCCCAGTGCACATTCCTCAACAGGGCATGCGTCTCTCTACATGGTCCCGGGCGTGCCTCCGGCTAACGACCCCGTCTGCTCATCCCCAGACTCGTAGGTCCTGGAGACAACAGGCAGCCAGCCCGCCAAGCTGACTCTCCAGGCACTTGGGCCCATCTCTGTGGGACCACTCATCGGTCGGGTCTCCGGGACCCGTGTCTGTGTCTCCCCAGCGACCCCGGTCAACGGGGAGCTCCTCCACGGCAAGGACAGCTCACGTATGCGCCCGCAGTGCCAGGTGCAAGGGAGGGCCTCGAGAGGCGTGTTGGCCAAATGAAAGAGTGAAAGGACACAAAACAAGAAATCAGTGTTTGGCAGGGATAAAGAATCTTCTAACGTCAAGACTGGTCTGCTAGTATTGTGAACATGTTCTGCTCACGGGCACGGCCAACACCACGGCACAGTGATGAATGAGCGGCGTCGTTCGATTAACTTGAAAAAAAAAAAAAATGGGCACAGCAAACTACAGCATTCATTTTCCTGGGTTTATATAGAAGCTATTTCCACCTATTTATCACTTTAAACGTTTCTGAAGAGAAGTACACTCAAGGAGAAGCTTCAGGCAGATCTTAGATTTTTCGCCAAAAAGCAAAGTGTCAGCTTCATAATTTACTCCATACTAAAAGTTACTGAATGAGGCAAAGCAAGATTACTGCAAAGAAAGAAGATGATGCCACTTTCCAGACACTGTCAGTTCTCCTGTATCCACTACACTGTCAGCATGAAAGAAGGAAAAGTCAGCTGAACTGAATTTCTCGTGTGCATCTGGTGCCATGGTAGTTAAAGAGCGACAGTCCAGGGCCTGGTGGGGCAGCAGGACCGAGAAGAAGACAACAGGCCGGCCTCATACTTAAGCTGCAACAGAAGTTCCTAGGATCAGATGTTCAGAAACCTCTTCAAGACCCAAGACCCCGTCTGAAACACACATACTCTTAAAGCTGGAAGGGGCCTCAGACACGTTCTGTGAGTGGAGGCCCAGGAGACGCCGTGACCACCACAGATTCAGAGCGGGTCAAGTGTAAGCAGTCACTACCACAACACGCGAGGGCTCCGGGGCCAAATGAGGGACGCCCCGCCCCCCCCTCCCCCACCCGTGCAGCCTGACCCTCTAACGCCAGTGCCGACCCCTCCGTCAGCATCCGCCCACCGGAGACTCGGGGGCCTCCTTCTGTGGGCTCCACCTGTCTGCCGTGACAACTTCCTGTCTCCGAGCTCCTCACCACATTAGTAGTTTGTTGAGACCCTACTGCCCAGACCCACCTAGAATCTCCAAAATCCAGAATGACGCCTGTGTTAGAGTACAGGTCAGTATTTACCCTCCTAAAAAAGGACTCTCATCCAGTGGGGATGGAGTAGGATTTGAAAATGTGAAGTCAGGATACCCACTGCGGTTTTGTTTTTAATCTCAGAATTGATCTTCAATTTATACTAGTGGGAAGATGACAGAGGCTTTGTTTCTCAACACGAGGACAGGAGTCTGCAGGCTGAAGCGGGAGAATGGGAAAGATGGGGACTCTGGGGCACACAGCCCGGGTTCTCATCTCACTGACCGTGTGATCTCAGGCAAGTCACTTAACCTCTCTGTTCCTCAGTTTCCTCATCTGTAAAGTGGGGATGATGATAATCCCTACACTTCACCAAAGGCTTTAGAAGATCCAATAAATTATAACACACAAAGTACAAGGGAACAAGAATTTGAATAGCTGAGAAACTTCTGCTCAAGGGACGCTGGTTAATTAGAGGGCAGGGGGTTGTTCAGAGCTCTTTTGAGAACCTGATGAAAGCCACAGACCTCTCTCCCTGAGGAAAGAATGTGCAAATACAAAACAACTCTACAAATTCAGGGATTCATCAACTTCACCACCCAAGATCACAGGAGGAAAGCCCTTGTTTTCTGCAGATTGTCAGGAATAAAATACCACTGGGGCACCTGGCTGGCTCAGTCGGTACAGCATGCGACTCTTGGTCTTGGGGTGGTTGAGTTCGAGCCCCATGTTGGGTGTGGAGATTACTTAAAAGACTTATAAACTCTTTAAAAAAACAAGAAAGAAAAGAAAAGGAAAGGAAAGGAAAGGAAAGGAAAGGA